TTACAAGCTGGAATGACCAACTCAAGAAAAATGTCTGATTGGTGTTGATGAACAGAATATTTACCCAGGTGAGCTCAAATGATCCATATAAGGCACATACATATGTACAGGCATACAAAAAGTAAATGATCTTACAAAAATTAAAAGACGCTATGACTGAAAGTTGTTTCTCAAATGAGGTCTGTAACCTGCATAATTAAACAAAAAGCAAAACCAGTTACTTTGTTTCAGTTTGCTTCAGTGTGGAATGATAGGGTTAATTTGTTCATCTAATCCGCATAATAATGAACATACCAATAACATGACATTTCATTGAAAAATCAGCAGGACATCCTTGATGGAATCAGAATAGACCACAAAAATTTCCAAGTGTCTTTGCTCCAGATCTTATCACACAAAAACAAACACAACAAGTCTACAACTTCAAATTATTCATCTTCTAATGGTCTTATTAGATCACATCTTAATTACCTTTCGGAAAATTTTCCACTGCATCTACTAGACTTCTTAAAAGTTAAAAGGTGCAACTACTGAAAAGCTCAAGCTTACAAATATCTTTTCACAAAATGTAAGTCGAAATACTTTGTCAAAAATGCAAACTTTTCATTTCACACACAAAAAAAAGCGATCACTTGAAAATAAGTACTGGTACAAATCGTGAAACTCAACAAGCCTCAAGCAAAACAATCAAATTCAAGTTAGTTTAAAACTGGTGCGTTTGCTCTCTCTCAACATAGAGAACCCCCCCCCCTCCATGAAAAATACCGACAAAACAACCCCAAAATAAAAAAAACAAACAATAACACCCCCCCCACCATACACACACACAAATCATCAAGCACTGCAAGGGAAGAGGGAAGAAGGTGACCAACAAAAACATCAATTACAGAACCATTCCTGCTTACTGAAACAGACAAGTGACTTGATGGTAACAAACTTGGGAGCCTGATGGTGATTTGTATGTGTTTGAGTAAAGAGAAGCACATCCGACTCAATATTGGTCATATAATACCGGGAAAAAGAATGCTGACAGACAGACAGACACAAAAAGAGAAGGAAAGTAAAAAAGTAGGACCAACCAGTGACGCCCTCCAACCACCCACGCCTGATGGTAAAATGTGTCTCGCATTATCTCAGATCTGTGCAGGATGCATTAATGCGTGAGCAGTCGTAATATTGTGACTAATGAGAACACACACAACAAGAAAAGATATATAAAGTAAAAAGCTTCCATTACACATTTTCTGACAGATTATGGAGTCTATTAACTCCTTCTAAAAGTATTACAATTTTAAAAAATCTTCCCTTTAACAATTTCTGTTCTCCATTTTTTGCCCTGTTACTACCTTTTCGAAGTGTGAACAGACAACACAGACAGACACATGATTGTACAGACATCACACAGTTAGCTCCACTCATATACAGTTTTACGTCAGAGGTACAGATTCTGCAAATGCACCCAAGCACCAAATACCACATAATGACTAGATGAAAAACTAAAAACAAAGGGAGCTCTGGGGCACCAGGAGGTTCTTGTTTGTGTCATGGTCTCAACATGCCCAAAACCTCAACAACAGGGGAAGTCATTCCAACAAAAGAAAAAAACCCAAAACACCAAAAAAACAACTAAACCCCCCCCCAAAAAAACCCAACAACCCCCCCCCAAAAAAAAACAACAACCCAACAACAACCCAACCCCAAACAAACAAAAAAACTTATAGAGACTCAACTGTCAACAACTATACATGTGCCTAATCATTTGCACCTTTCACTTTCACATGAGAAATCATACAATATGTAAACTAAGTCTGTCAATCAAGTTTAGACTTCAGGCTGGGGGAAAGGAACTCAGGAACGTTGGAACTGACCATCAACCGACTGAACACAGAATATATATCGTTCTGAAAGAAGACCTACAAAATTATGCATGGGAAACCACGATTATAGACCATCATTGTGGGAAAACCCCCCCGGAAATTTTACCACAGGAACACACAGCTAGAGGAAAGATCTCAGCAGTAGAAGCCACAAAGTGACCCCGCCCTGTCTCGCATGTCTGTAGTACGGTATGACCATAAGCTGACAAAATGCCTTTTTTCCCCTTCAGAGCAGCTTTGAGAAAAATAGTTTTTTTGTCAATGTAACCATTGAAAATAAAGTCATTCCGAAATTTGAATTCTAACTTATTACAAAACTAGTCAGAGTCTCATTTGATTTTTTTCACACAAGCTAGGTAACTGATAAGGCTTTCCATTTAGCAAAAAAAATAATTTTGGCACCAAAATGAAAAAAGGCGTTTTGTCAGCTTATGGCACAGTACAGAGACTGCCGAAGATAGGAGTCGGGAGGCTTGATTTGCTGTAGAAGCTGTTTTCTCTACAACACAAAAAAATTACACTCTCAAATTAAATGATGAATCTTCGTGACACAGATCAATGTGCATGGGGTTTTCTCTGCATTAAGTCTAGCCCTGCATTTTAAAGAAAAAATGTACACCAGGAGCATTGCTCAGAATGCAAAATGAGTCTGGCGATTTCAAGGAAGAAAAATGAATCTCTTCATAAAATTGAAAAGTATGCTGACTGAACAAATACAGATCTTGAAAATGAGGAAGACGGTAAACAATAATAATAATAATATATATATAAAAAAACAAACAAACACAAAAGAACACGATGAAAGAGCCAGATACCTGATGTAAAGATGGACTTGAGCTTAGATGACAAAATTCTCAAGGACAAACCACATAAGCTACCTGGTTGCAGTTACATAATTTCTCTAACAGTATTACAAGCTACCACCATGGTTGCAATAACATACTTCCTTTAACAGTGCTATAAATCTGACCCTCCCTTTATTCCCCAAAAGTCAGTTTAGGTGCAGTATTGCGCACAGGCATTATTATTTCCTGGTTAATTTTATTGTAAGTTTGACCATTTAAGAGATGAGAGTGTTTCACTTTTCCTTTTAGAAAATCAGCACTTGTTAGAACAGATTTTTTAAAATAAAGGAAAGTCACTATATTGGTCAAAGAAATGGAGAGAGGATAGAAGTAGTAATGAAAACCAAAATGAAGAAAAAGCAGAAAATCTACAGCAATTCAGCTCTGAGACAAGACTTTCACATTTCCTCTTTACAAAAACCAATATATGTATAATCAGCAAGAGAAACAGCGACTGGCGCTTACACTCATACTGTATGATACTGTGTGTTTGGAGTAGTCCAAAGGATGCCAAGACATCATGGTGGGCAAAAATAAAGAGAGGTGGGAATGCAGTAACACTTTGTGCTTATTTTAACTCGCAAACAGCCGTCATGACACAAATCACAAATTATGAAACACCCTCACAAAAAAAAAAAAAAAAAAAAAAAAAAATTAAATCAGGTATCTTCGTATGTCTGTTGGGGCGTTCTGTCCCACTGAGACTGTGTTGTCCCTGACTGATACAGTAGGAAAGCAGTTTGCCTCATTATTAACCTAAAACAAGTGGAAAGTGGCGTCAAATATTAACAAACCAATTCGAGACTTTCAGCTGATTACGAAAAAGCCTACAGAGGTGGTGCGGTTACTCTAAATTGGGCTGCTCATCATCACTGTATGTACATGGATATTATTATGTTAAACGCCCCTTTCGACACGGTAAAAAATGGTATGGGTTTAACTCTTCAATAAACACTATTAAGTTATTTATGAGGCGGGTTCCGACACTGTAATGTTATTTAAGAGGCGGGGCCTCTGGAATTAAAGCCCGTCTCCGATAGGATCGAGCCAAAGTTGTGGTTATAT